ATGGAATACCTCCCTGGCTAGCCCGGGTCAGGCGCCCCGTCTCTGCTTCCTCACAGCTTCCCCTCCTCCCTGGCAGAGCATGAGCCTCACAAAGTCCTTGGTCAGGGTAAACATCACTTAGCAACAACCCAAAACATCGGCTTCACCAGCACTGTTCCCAGGCTGGAAGTCAAAACACAGCACTGCACCAGCTACCACAAAGGAAAAACATGACTGCTACTGCTGAACCCAGGACACTGGGGAAAGAGAAATACTTTGTTTATGTTAGTATCTAATTATTAGTGTCTTAATGAATTCAGCACACAGACACCACAAACATCTGTCCTGCTCGGGAGGAAGCTTTGGACCTATTTACCTTCAGGTGTATGTTATCAAAACACTGCAATTTTGCATTTGTTTAATATAATTTGTTCATAATTGTTTTGAGGTACCTTTTATTAGGCTAGTTCTCTCTCCCTTTCAGAAAGCCATCTACCCTCTACTTCCCAGGCTGTAGAGAAAGCTTTATAGTTTTACATATTTGGAACTGAATGGAACTAGCTCACGAACTGGATGGGTTGAATTTCACAGCTACAAACCATCTGTGGCTTCTGCTGATGCCAGCAAGTATATGATAAATAGGGAGCCTGAGAAGAAAATCCACTATGGAGGCACAGCTCCTCCAGTTGCTAACAGTGCTAACAATATACTGCTGTGCTGGTAACAGGGCTTCCTGGATGCATTTCCAGGGCCAGGGTATTTTTCAGAGAGTAAAAATGCCAGAAGGCTATGAAGACAAACCAAAGGTCTCTTAGCACAGCAGCATTTCAGCAGCCAGCAGCAGATGGCTAAGAACAGAGCAAGAACAAAACTTGTCAGTTTCTGAGAATGAGCAGCTTTGGGAATATCTGCCTGCTGTCCCAGGACATTCAAGGTCTTCTTATATTTTGTAACTTCATTTCCAGCAGAGGAACTTGAGGAATTGCTTGGGAGAAACTGGGGCAGCAGTTGAGCCAAGTCTGTCCCCTGTGGGGGCCTGCAGGCTGCTCCCAGACCTGGTGCAAAACTCTTCACAGAGAAGAAGATGCATGAAAATAGCCTGGCCCCTGAGATGCATAGGGGATGCAGAGCCATGGACGCTGCTGCTGCTCCATTTCTTCAGGTAACTCTTACAACTGAGAGGCTCAGCAGCATGTGCTAAAGGTTTGTGGAGAAATGGGAGCACCTCTTAAATTGACATTTGAACTGCTCCAGATGTTTATTGCAAATGCAGTACCAGTGGGTAACCCCGGCATTGAGAGCTTCCCATGCTCAACAGTCCAGGTAAAAGTGGAGGCGGATGTGGGGATGTTGAAAACATGGCATAACCTGCATCTCTTGCTTCAGAAAAGGTGTTGGCTGTCTGCAGGCTTCTGCGTTGGTTGTTGTGTGGTTGGCACGTCTTCAGTGTAAGGGTTCCTGGTCTGTCTAAGATGACAGCAAACCCTGTGTGGGATGCAAGGACTTGCACCTCCAGAGACCCTGCTTCCTTCTTGAGAGCTGAGTGATAGAGGAGCATAGTTTTGAGAAGAAAGGCCTTGGTGATGAGGTGGAAATATCAAATGCCTTGTAGTGGATGCTGCTTCTGCATGAAGGCTTTGGCCATTGCAAGTGTGGGTTTGGATTTTAAATAATGTAGCCTGACTTTGCATAGTAGTTACCTTATCCTTGTACAAGAAAAGTGGGAGAGTTGACACAGCCATATGGAACTGCTTCTTCTTGCAATTCTTTGCAACCCCCCTCTGCCTAAAGACACCAGGTGTTACAGTGAACAGACTTTAAAGGCAGAGTCTTCTCTACCATTTAAAATACGCTTCTACTACAAAGCAGAGTCGTATTTTGCTGAGTTAATCATAGGAATGGCTATGTGACACATTGGTTATTCTTTAAAAAGTGGTGATGACTGATGCACTGATTGATAAACTGGTTCTTCATGATCTGCTCCTTCAGGTCATGTTAATACATATTTTCATTATGTTGGACTTTGCTTGTATTTATCTGATTTTAAAGCGGTGCTTTGTATAGCTCAAGGCTTGTAGTTTGCTTTTGATGTATAATAGCAGACAACTTCAGGTTGTGGTTTGTTCTTCATCTCAGAAAAGCAGTTTGTTTCCCTCTTTTTAACTATGTCACATCCTCTTCATGGGAGTGTGCAACGAGATGGTTTGTTTTCACTTGGATCTCTCAAGGGGGAGTAGAAGGTGTGTCTGTCTGTGCATCAAGATCTCAGAAGCATTAGTGAAAAGAAATCAATGAAATGTACAGCTGAAAACAGGGACTATCTGGGATGGACAGTCCTGAATTGAGATAGTTCTTACTTCTTTGCAACTATAGCCATGTACCTCCTGAGGACACCAGGGGAGCTCTCTGCAGTTCCCTGGTGCACAGGAGCTGCCTCATAAGCAGGCACCAGGACCACCATCCACGTTGGAGCAGCTGCATGTGCTAACATCTCTCCACTCATCTGCAGAACAGCAAGTAACAGAAGACCGGAGCACACTGGCGCTGTTGCTGTTCATCTCCCATGGCTGGAGGGCTCCTCTCCAGGCTGACAACCCGGTAACGTTCTTCCATCCTAAATGTTCACTGGGATGAATCCAAGTGTGAGCAGTACTGTTCCCCAGCTGGAAGGCTGAGGCTAATAGAAGAGTGACGCACACATTGCATGGTCTTGTGCCAGCCACTGCCGTAAAGGCTGAGTAAAAACTGTAATTTATTTTAATGTAGTTATTGAAGCATTTTAATTCCATCAAAGGAAATAACATGAGACAATCTACAAATATTCATTTGCTACTTTTAAATGGATTTGATTCAGCTGTACTTGGTTTCTCCTTTACTTTGAGACTTCTCGCTTCCGGTCACAAGTATTCAAGGATTGTGAACCTTAAAAATTGCAGTCTAAATGCTACATTTCACACATGAATATTTAAACAGAGTGATATGCTCTGCTCTTTCTGTAAGGCCCCATTTTTAATCATTAATGCCTGTTCTTTTGAGCAAATAAACCCCATATATATGTGACTTGTATGCATTTAAAAAAAAAGAAAGCTCTCTGGGACAAGTTCCAATATGACAATGTTCTGTTTATGAATATTTATAGAGCCATCAAATTCAGTGAATACTGAATTTGCTGATAAACAGTGTGGTTTTACTTTTCTTTTGAAAGAGACCAAAAAATTATCTGTAAATTGGGTCAAATTGAGTACAAGATTCTGGTCAAAAAGCATTTATTTTATTCGTTGGTTAAAAAAAAAAAAAAAGAAACCTTCAAACTGTTTGATTGAAAGAAACTTTTATGTGCATCATTCATCCAAATGACAATTATTTCAACAGTATTGAATAACATAAAACAAAACATCTAATTTGTGGAAAAAAAATTAAGTGGATAAAAATTAAACTCAGGAGTTTTTCAATGTTAAGAGCTACGTTGCCTGTTGCAAATTAATAGCAGAACACTGATCAATGTAGTTGCCCTGGTATTGATTCAGGCTGCAGTGAAAGCTTTTCATCCAGATGCATCAGTGTTTTGTTGGAACTGTGAAGAAAACCATTAGGCTGTTGTCTAATGTGCATACACATTGTGTTGTGTTTAAGAAGGTACTATTGCCTCTTGCACTCAGTTCATGAATGTGGAAGCATTTGTTCTTTCTGTACCACAAGTATTCTGGTTTTTCTTCTGTGCATCAGGTGTCCTCACTTGATGTATTTTACATTTAAAATGAAATGTTTAATGCAGCATCATTGAAGCCTGTTACTTTTACAGCAACTGATAGCAGATCTGTGTTCACAGAACCCTGGCTGCCCTTTCCTCCTCCTTCCAGCACATGCTGAGAAGCCCTGTTGCAACATATATGATGTTTCTGAATCAACCATTGCACTAAGATACTTGTTTGTTTGGTGTGTATTAGGTTTTGACTTGAGAATGAAAACAACATTTCAGTATTTCCCATGGGATGGAAACACAATTTCCCAGCCATCTCTAACTGCATGTGACCGATTCAAAAAGTAAAAGAGGTACAAATGATGATATAAAGGAGAGAATGACAAAACACCTACCAAGGAAACAACCTGAGGAAATGCAGAGGCAAGTGATGGAAAACGAGATAGCTTTATGGACAGGCTACACAGAGGCTCGAGGCAAAAGTGCAGCTGCTGTTTTTTGACAGTAGCATCAGAAACTGCAGTCAGGACATGGCTACTGTAGTGTTGTGGAAATAGGCAGATACTCTGAGACTTCAGCTTTATTCCCCAGGTGGCTGGGGACACAGTGGTGCATTGGTTGTGAACCCTTCTGTGGCAGAACCAGCATGAACATCTACAGGACTAGGGTGCTTCTCCCTGGGATCTGAGCAGAAAAGGCTGGGAGCTGACTGCAGGAATATATATGTATATTGTTCACTATAGTGTAGTGCAAGTTTGCCATGCCAAATTGGAGTGATTTAGATAGGATATCTGACTGTAGGGAAGTATCAGTGAGGTTCTTTGCTAAAGCCATGTTCAAGCAACAGCTGAATAGGTTTACATCAAAATTCTTCCCTGAGAACCATATATATTTTTATTTGAAAGCTTTTGGTTGGCATGGAGCTCTGGCTTTGTGTGAACTAGAAAACAATGTGTTGGGATGACAGCACTGTCTCAATCTTACCAATGAACCCTTGCCCTTTTGCCAAAAAGGAGCTGGAAATTTGTGAGATATTGTTTGTTAAAAAGTATATATATATTTGTAGAATAGCATAAGTTACCAGATGCCTCTTCAGTTCACTGTGTCTATGAAATCAGGAAACAAACTCACATGCTTTTGATCTCTTGCAATAGGATAGTTGCCCTTTTTGTTCTGCTACAGAAGTAGTACCCTTCTACTACCCTCCAAGAAATTAGAAGCATGCGAGAGTTAGGAATCATTTCTTTGTCAAATAGTCGATGAAGTCTGATGATGTCTAAATCTTCCTATACATGCGGATTATTGATTATTCAGAAAGAGTTGTAGTTTGTGCATGTTTGTTTCAACAAAACCTTTTTTTCATCTTCTGCAGGTAAGACTATGAGGTGGCAGCAAGAGGTCTGTAGCTATCTTTGTGCTAGCCAACTGGGCATGAATAGTGAGCAGCTAGAGATGGCTGTAAATTCCTGCAGATCTCCTGTGGAGATGCCTGTAAAAGGAGGGGGCTGGTCTTTTCTCCACAGTAACAAGTGACAGGAAAAGAGGAAACTGCCTCAAGCTTGCAAAAGGGAAGGATCAGACTGGATATTAAGAAAAAAAGTCTTCATCAAAAGGGTACTCAGGCATTGGAACAGGCTGCCCAGGGCAGTGGTGGAGTCACTCTCCCTTGAAGTGCTTAAAACCCATGTAGATGAGGCCCTTGGTGACAAGGTTTAGCAGTTGACTTGGCAGTCCTGTGGTAATGGTTGGACTTAAAGGTTTTTTCCAACCTAGTTGATTCTATGATTCTGTGAAAATGGTATCAGAGAGCCTAGATTTTAAAAACTTTTTTGTAAGCAGTAGTGTTTTCTTCTACTTTCAAAACCCTTTTTGTTTTACTTCAGTACAAAAATGATACCTGATGTGGGGTCTTATTTAGAACTTCTGTTTTCAAAGGAAACTGAGGTTTTACTACATGTTCCCTTTGAAGGGCTTTGCACAACAATTTGTGACTACATGCCATTTTCTTTGCCTTCACTTTATGCAGTGCTGATTCCTTCTGCTAAAGATGGCTCTGACATGGTCTGTTCTGGCTGCATTTCTTCTCTTGCTGATAAATCTGGTTGAAGTGCCAGGTAAGTATGAAAGAGCGAAAACTACGTGCAGGACACTTTGGTACTCTGTATTTCCAGTTTACCAGTACACTGAAACTTCAGGGTGATTCTTTATTACTGGTTAATGTGAATGCAAAGAGTGATGTCACTTCAGCTAGCAAAATAACTGTGTGCCATGCAGAGTAGCACAGGATGATATATCTGATGGGAATCCAGCACAGATCATCTGAAGACCCATCTCCTGTTCAACTGGGACAATATCAGAGTTATGATTTCTAGTAAAAAAAGGATCTACATATGCCCCTTACTAAATTTGCCTCATAAACTACTGCACCAGGTGATCTTGGGTTTTAACCCTGCTACAGTTGTATGTTCCACTGCTATCCCCTTTTTACTTGCACTTTAACCAAGGTGCTTAATTCAGTAAGACAATAATATTTTTAAAGTAGTTCCCCTTCCCTCAAGGCTGAATCTTGCCTTCCCAATCAGTTTTACAAAGCCCAAGATAGTGATAGAAATTTGTTGCCTAAAAAAGAGATGGAGGACTTGAAGCTCATCAGCATCACAAACCTTCACAGTGTCCGTAATGGAGAGGCATCATCGCCACTGTGTTTCCAGGCTTCAGAGTACAGCAGGAAGCTGGACCTGGAATTTGAATACTACTTATATGTGTCTGCTCAAAGCAATGTGTCCCCAGGGCTGCCAGCACAGTAAAGAAGTAGAAATTCCTAAGTGTGATGAAGCCAAGAGTTTCCTGTCTTTGACAATGGCTGTAGCATCATTTTTGATGCCTTTTCTTCTTAAGCAGCTTACAACATGGTGAATGTGGAGGCTGGTCATGAGGCTGTGTTGAGTTGCCCTTCTGTCTCCAAAGCATCTTTGCTAATGGTGATATGGAAGACGAAATGCAGCACTTGCTGCTTGTTGTCCTATAGAAGTGATCACAACCAGACAATGAAGTTAAACTGCAGTGAGAGGATGACATGGAAATATTCACCTGACAGTGACCCTGATCTTCGTATTTACCCTGTGAGCCTTGGAGATGAGGGGCATTACACCTGTGAAATCATCAGCAGTGAGGGGAATTTCCTTTTTTTCTCCTTTCTGACTGTGATAGGTAAGAAACACCTTTGGGGGTGATTTTGGGAGTTTTTTTTGTGTGTATGAAGATACAAATGATTTGATTTGGTGATAAAAGACCTAAATTAAAAATAGAAGATGTAAGCTGACTTAGTCTGGCTGTATGGAGAAGGGAAAAAAGCTTGAGGAATTACATCTTAGGAGTTGGCTGTTCTATGGAGAATTAATCTGGGGTTTTGTGTTCTGTTTTTTAACTTCTACCTCAGGAAAAGGGAAGGTTTTAAAATGCACAAACCCAAGAGTCTGCAGAGTTTCTGAGGGGGTTCTTTGGGTGTAACATGGGGTTTGAATGTTGCATGAATGTTCATACAACCAGGAGTATACTTTTGGTTAAGCTAATGCAAACAGAAGATATCAAATAAATACTGCTGCTATGTGCTGAGCAACAGGATGCTGAACCAAGACTCTCATCTGGGTAAGAGCTCAATAGGAAGGAAGCAAAAGTTTCAGGACACTATCTGAAAATATTTCACTCTTCCAGAAACACCGAAAGCTGTCTGTAAGACTGCATCACTAAAATAAAAATGGAATTAATCTATTTTCAACATAGGCAAAAACAAAAGAATATTAGAAACACAATAAATACACCAAATCATCTTTTTAAGATAGGCAGGTAAACTGTGTAGGTTTCCATTAATTAAAAAACCCAAAGCAACCAAAACCAACATAAGAGAAGATTTTGTGTCTGGCCATATTAGTTAAGTCTTCTGAATACAACTAAGAAATCTGGGAAATCAATTCTGGTACTGTATAATTGCTATTATTATTTTTTTGTCACTTGATATACGTATCTTTCTGCAGGGTCTTGCCCTTCTGATACTGTCTTAGGTATTGTCCAAGCCTTGTCCTGTTTTGTCAAATGCAGACTATGAGTTGTTTGACTCCAGGCAGAACAGTTTTGTCCAATTCCTCCTTTATTCCCCTACTATCAAATTCTTGATTCTACTACACAGTCTCCTAAATATCTCAGCTGGAGCTTCGGCAAGATGTGTTTTCTTCAGTATGCACTGCCATACTTACAGATCTTCATTTAATCCACTTCTCTCTGTCATCCTCATCTTCTTCTGTTACTCCTGTAGTCACCTCTTGGATAACATGGAGAAGTAGTACTATCAGATTCAGGTAGCTAGTTTTGGAGATATTCACCCTGGACTTTTTGCTGTACTTTTTTCTCCTGAAGATCATTGGTGCTAATATTCCAACTTATTTTAAAATCTCTTGAATTGGTCATGCAAAGTAATAAAAAAACCTACCTATTTTTAATTTTCTCAATGGGTGATTTTATACTGAACTGGAAAAAATGGTCTTTTTTTTCTCTCTTCTGTAGTCCCTCCCACAGTGACTCTGACCTTTGACAAGAGCACAGGGGCAGTCTGTCAAGCGTCTGCTGGAAAGCCAGCTGCTGACATCTCCTGGATTCCTCCAAATAATGCCAGCACCAGTGAAGTCCATCACCCTAATGGGACAGTGACCAGAGTGAGCTGGGTCAACACCACGCTTTCAACTGTCACCTGCCTTGTTACCCACCCAGCTACAAACCAGAGTCTGTTTCTAGACTTGCAATGTAAGTCACATTGCTCTGCATCATTATGCTCCTGGGCTTCATAGTGCTGTTCCATGCAGCTGTTCCCACGGAATGCTAGGGCTCTGCAGATTGTTTAGCGGGGTTATAAGCCAAATTCCTTTTGCATAATGACAGAGAAATTAATAGTTTTGAGTGAGTTTCTATCCCTTGCTTGCTTCTTTCTTTCCCTGTTATACTTTACAAGAATTCCTTGTTCTTCTTTTAGTGGGTTGACCTTGGCTGGCTGCCTTGGTGAGCTTGGTGCTCACCAAGCTACTCTATCACCCCCCCGCTCAATAAGACAAGGGAAGAAAAATAAGATGAAAAGCTCACGGGTCAAGATAAGGACACAGATTATTCACCCACCAGTTACTGTCACGGGCTAAACAGACTGAACTTAAGGCAATAATTTATTGCCAGTAAAATCAGAGTAGGATTGTGAGAAATAAAAGCAAATCTGAAAGCACCTTCCCCTCACCTCTCCCTTCTTTCTGGGCTCAGCTTCACTCCCAGCTTCTCTGTTCACTCCCCTTGAGTAGTATCGTAGTTTAATGGTAACTCAGAATCATGCAGCCATTACTCACCCCCTTTCTTCCTCCCCCAGGTGGGATGGGGAAGAGAATCGAAAGAAAATCAATCAACAGGTTGAGATAAGAACAGTTTAATAACTAAAGTAAAATATACTACTACTACTACTAAGGGAAATAGCAACAGAGAAAATATAAAACTAAAAGGGGAAACAAAAAAACAACAGTAAGCAGCAGTGATGCCCAATACAATTGCTCACTACCCACTGACCAATACCCAGCCCAACCCGAGCAGTGATTGTTCCTTTCCAGGTAACTCCCCCCAGTTTCTATACTGAGCATGATGTGCTGTGCTATGGAATACCCCTTTGGCTAATTTGGGTCAGGTGTCCTGCCTCTGCTTTCTCCCGGCTTCCTGTGCCCCTCCTCACTGACAGAGCATGAGACTAAAAAGTCCTTGATCAGAGTAAGCGCTACTTGGCAACAACTAAAAACGCTGTGTTATCAGCACTGTTCCCAGACTAAAGCTAAAACACAGCACTGCACCAGCTACTAAGAAGAAAAATAACCATCTGAAAACAGGACAAGTGGCACATTTTTGACTGGCTCAGCAGCAGTTCTGTCTTGGAACCAGTTGACATGGGCTCTGTTGGATATGGGGGCAGCTTCTGGCATTTTCTCACAGAAGCCACCCCTTCAGCCTCCCCGCTGCCAAAATCTTGCCTTGCAAATGTGATACATTGCTTTGGTAACCTTTTTAATCACCAATAGCAGAAAAACTGCTTTCAGCACCCACTGTGATATACCTCACTAATTTTGGTGTGAAGCTTTATACCCCTGAAGTTTAAGGTTGTCCAGGTTCCCACAGTGGTGATGGTCTGGAGAAAAATTCTTTGGACAATGTCTGTCTATGACTTTCAAATTATCTTTCCCAGGGCCAAAGGTAGCACAGGGCAAAATTCTGGCTCGCAGCTGGCAGTGCTGGAACTGTTAGAAATCTTTTCCAGTAGGATTTGTAGGAACAGCTAAATAAGTTCTCATATCACCAAAATATCTCAGCAGAGGCATGAAGGACAGAAGCCAGCATAGACCAGCCATTAATAACAGCATATTGCAGGAGTGGCTTGTCATTTCTATTGTTGCAGGGCTAGTATCATTTGAAGAAGAGGAGACTGTGCAGGCAGATGCGTTGAAAATGAAAGTGTGTTTGTTATGCACAAATGGCTGGGTTTGTGAGGCAGCTTCTTATTGCTGGTTGCCATCCAGACATCTCATTGGTGTCTCTCAGCTCATTTTAGCTGTGGGGGTAGAGGATTAGCTTTCTGCTCTGGGTAAGGAGCTAGTAACATCATGTAGGCAGTCAATACTGACATTTAGCTTTGTAACTAGATATTTTCTTATTTCTCAGATACTTCCCCAAGGCTTGCCTTTTTTCTGCTAGGAGGATTTGCATGTGTTGCTGTTGTCAGTGGTGTGACATTATGCCTATTTTTTATCTGCAGAGGTAAGTCATTTGATGACCCTGAAATGTATTAAAATTTCTTTGCTGACTATATGTGCAGGTACAAGCTGATGTACTTCATTGCTGAGAGTGTGGTGGGAAGCATGGATTGAGGAAAATGTCCACAGATGATGCATTGTCCTTTTGGAAATGTCTGATAAAATAAGGAGTGGAACTTTAAAATGAGTCTGGAGTTTTGTCAGAGTCATAGTTACTATGCTATTAATGCATTATATATATATATGGCAGAGAGCCATCCAGGGTGAAGAAGGATTCTTTCTGAGAGTATGGTAGGGTTTGAGGTTTTAGAATTATTTTGATTGTTCCACATTTACCCGTAGAAAATTCTATGCATAAGAATGACAGTTCACAAACTAATGACTCGACACAAACAAGCTCTCCGTTTTCCATCAGCAGTCATAAGTTTTCCCTTGAGCAAGTGAAATCATCCCTCTGGTACACTCGCAGTTTCTCAAGCTGTATAGGTTTCACAGACACTGGGTCGAGCTCATACTGAGAACTCAGATATTTTTGCTACTCTTGGAGTTGTGTAAGACCGCTGTGATGGGGTACGAATGGAGTAAAAGTCCAAGTGGGGGCTTAAAATGGGAGGAAGTAAGAATAGCAGGCTGAAGGCAAGAGTTTTTTCAGGAGAGCAGGACATGGTATACTGGGAGAAGGCAATGTAAAGGTGGATAAACTGTAAGTAGAGAATATGTTTTTGGGGCAGGTAAAGAGAGGAGAAGACATGCTCAGATGGGTTCCTTAGCCCAGCATGTGCCTGCAGAACTGAGGAAAAAATGTACCTGTGTCAATTCAGTCGTATCTCCCAGGGTGACCAAAAGTTTCAGTGAAGGGAAAAATAAAACAATAGTGCATTCAAGAGCAGGACATAAACCAGTAAGAGCTTAACTCACAAATGTAACTGTATTTTCCATTCCAAACCAGTCTATGATTTTGAAGAAAGTCTTTCAGCAGCTGAGGGCAGCAAGTGGAGAGCTCTAAACATCACAACTGTGTACCTTGCCCCATGAAACCATTTTAATTTACTTATATCCTATTTTCAGCTCTCTGGTTACACAAACTGGCAGAGAGGTCGGCAGCACCAGTTGCAGTAAGTGGCCTTTTTTTGTATGTGTTTGTGCTTTGCATTTTTTTATGTATTCTTCACTAAAACATGTAATTTCATTGCAGTGTGTCTGCTCTGACAGAGCTCTCATTTATCTCTGTGTGTGCTTGGAGGGGGAAATGAGGAACAGTGTATCTGCAAGAGTGTCTATTGTTTGGATGATCCTATCTTTATGTATATTCAGAGTATCCAAGTAGTTTTTTAAGCACTAGATTGAGAGTGGTGTAGTGCATTTTCTATCTAAGAAGACTACAAATCACATTTACAATGCTGGTGTTAAAGCTGAATTTTAAATCTCCCAGAAGTTAATGTTTTCACATTTCAGCTTCTCAAAGTAATCTAAACTGATGTTTTGCTGAAGAACATGTATTGGTGCTGATGGCAAACATTTGCCTGGTTAAAGATCGGATGAAAATAGGCACTCATTTTACAATGGTGTATTTCCTTATGCTGTTTTAGAGACAAACACAGCTATGAGACTTTTACTTTTTAAGTTGCAGTTCAAACACTTAGAAGCTAGGAAACAGCAGCAGTGATAAATTTGCCACTGCAGATTTTACTTCCTTTCTTTTTTGTTGTGATACATATTTAGCAGCATGATAATATGCAGCTCTTTCCTCAGGACTTCTGCCTCATTTAATGCATATTGAAATAGCAATTATTTCATATTTTGTTTTCTGCTCACAGTTAAATTAATGGCTGTATGCCTTGTTAGTTGCAAACTAGTCAAGCAGTGCTCTGATGTTAGAGTGATTAATTTCCTGATATCCCCTTCAGTGGCATTCAGGACAACTTGGCTGGTGAGAGTGGGAGTTGCAAAGATCAAAGTCAAAAGCTTCCAGTAATTTTAGGTGCTTAAACTGGATTGCTTGTGGCCTGCCCGCTCTTTTTCAGAGCAGTTAGGATTACAGAACCATATTGCTCATTATTATCTATTTTGCTGAAGATACCAGCATTTCAAAATCTGCTTTCAATTGCATTAAGAAAAAAAAAAGATTCAAAATCTGTCCTGTTTAGACTTTGTGAAGGTGGTTGCTGCATCCTTCTGTCAGTTTGGGTTTCACCCTCTGTGTCCTACCCCTTTGCTCACAAAGCTTAGAGAAATAACTTCACAGTTCTTTTGCAGAAACAGTGTTACCTACCAGATCTCTTTTGGTCTTTTTTGTTTGGACTCTGTAAGTATGATGGTTCCATTAAATTCTACAGTGTAATGCAATGGTACACGTTTTTCTTTATGTTGCAGACTACGAACTTCAGGTCCACACCATCACGGGTGAAAATGGAAGCAGTCAAGCCTCCTGTCTTGTCAGAACATATCTACCAGAATTACAGTTCAAGAACAGTATATATGAACTATTGACAGTGTAGGCACAAGCAGTCTAACACCAGCTCAGCCACTGATGATACTCAGTTACCTGTACTTCAGCTAACAAATCTCAGACCTTACCGCATCGCACACCAGCAGAACACTCAAAACTGCCCCACAAAAGCATTTCTTTCCTGACCTGAAGAAAATGGTTTACCTGTTTTAGTAAATTATTTCTCTCTTTCTTAAAGTATCAATACAACTCTTGAAACACCTGAAACTTTTAAGGACCAAGTTAGTTTAATACCTATCTAAATGTTGTTTGAAAATGGACTCTTGAGGTATGTGCTGTCTTTCCTCAAATTAGTGATTGACATACTGTGCCAGAGGAACAGACTGCTGGTGAAAATACAGCATGTTTCCCATTTTAGCAACTGGATTCTCTTTGTAATTTTGTGTTGGAAACTAGGAAATGACATAGGGATTCCCAAAAATACAGAAGGTCAAAGAAACACATTCAACAGAAATGCAGAAATAAGAGTGTGGTTTTTTATTTCTTTTTTTTCTCCTGGGTATGTAGTGCAGGGTGACACATGGCACCTGACATGTGGCAGCTGAAAATCTGGTATTCATCATCTTTGTTTATTTCTATTTTTTTAAATATATTTATTTTTCCATTACACTTTCTGTTTTCATTTTAATGGAAGAAAAAAAGTTATTTGCATACAGTTCTGGTTTACCCAGCATAAGAAGGACATGGAGCTGTTGGAGCAAGTCCAGAGGTGGCCATGAGGATGATCATTGTGGCTGGAGCATCTCCTATATGAAGACAGGCTGAGAAAGTTGGGGCTGTTCAGCCTGGAGAAGAGAAGCTGCTTGGAGACCTCAGAGCTGCTTCCAGTATCTGAAGGGGACTATGGGGATGCTGGACAGGGACTCTTTTGTCTGCTTTTGACAATCACAGTGCACGTGTGTTGTGAGTTGTAGGATGCAAAGCTTTTCATAATTTCTTTGCCCCGAACAAAATGTTGAAGAGTAAGATTTAATAGAGGAAATAGGCAGGGTGATGATGGTGCATGGGGGGAAAGCCCTCTGGAGAGGCATCACTGTGATAATTAGCTCTGGTTGAAAAGCATGGTTTCCATGCTCATGGTTTTATTTTCCCCTTTAATTTGTATTTGGTAGAATCAGTCCAGTCACACGCAGTGTGTCAGCATTTCCATTAACCCACAAATTCTGAGCAGACTATGCTTGATGTGCTGAAACAACGTGCTCAGGCACTGAGATGGGTCTCTTTCCATGATGCAGGTACTTGTTAAAATGGGCTTTGCTGGAGGTTCCACAGCTCTCAGCAGCCATATGGGACTATGCTCTGCCCAATTTCTTATTACTGGGATGGCCCAAGAGCCAGTCCTGCTGCAACCTCTCAGAAAATTAGCTTACAGCATTGTAGCATGGCTTTGATCATCATGTGTTTACTGTCAGCAAAAAGCTGTAGTTATCAACCCACAGCTCAAGCGAGCCCACATGTTGCAGGCATTAAAAGGCCTCAGCTGCCTAATTGTTGCATCTTCCTTTTGCAATAAAATCAGCCCTTGTGCTTTTCAAGCTGTTGTGTATGATTAATAAAACTTATTAGGCCAAAGAGAACAATGTGGCTAGTGCGGGTGATTGTAAGGAAGGCTGGGACATGAATAATGCTTCTTGGCAGAGCGTAATAATTGAACAAGCTCACTTAATTTTCTGCTCATCTTTTGTGTGTGTTATAATACTGGCACAAGTGGTAGCCAGTTTCATGTAGAGAGTTTGCTTCTTTTTTAACTGTCTGCAATTCACTGGAGCTTTTGATCACAGGAGTATGTATTACATCCAAGCTGCCAAGAGGGGACAACAATTCCAGTGGGCCTCTCACGTCTGCTAATAGCATTGTAACAATTCTAGTGGCCTCTGAGGTCTGCTAATAGCATTGTCTTTGAAAGGAAGAAGATAGGATTAACCAAGCAGGAGACCTGTGCATACACTGACAGAGTAAGGGCTTGGTGCTTGGGGTAACACAGAGAGATATGTGAGTTGAATGATTTTGTATGGAAGCAGATAGTAAAATAGACTAGAGAAGGGTGTTGACAGAGCACAACAGTAAGACTAAGAGGGCAAGCATGATGTTGGGCTGTCACAGCTTAATTCTTAATAATGTGATTTATTGCTTTTCCATTCACACTGCCTGTCACTGAGTACCTTAACTGCAGATCGTGACTGTGAAGGACAGGCTTTTGTCATACGGGAAGCTCTCAGCATGGGCTTTGATGGATTCCTCTGTGCGCCATCAACAAAGAACAGTGTGTGTCATGTTTCTTGGTCTTATGAGCTGCACACCAAAGGGCTAAAAGCCATGACACACACACCCCGGGGGGCAAGGTGGAAGGAAAGAAAGGCCTGGATGCTGGGGTAGGGTGGGTGCAGGAGCCCTTCCCTTGCTGCCAGAGATGTATTCTCCTGGGCTGGCTGCTGGGAAAGTGCCCATTTCCTATCTGGATTTAACTTCATAGCTGATCTGTTGAGTATTCTGAGAACAAAAAGAAAATCAATATTTTCTGTCATGCTGATTTTGGATGGGATAGGCATCTTGGCGTGATTCAAAGAATAATCCAGATTATGTATTTGGTCTCTTGGAGGAGGTCTAGAAAATAACCAACTTGAGGATTTTTTGGTTGGTTTTTGTTTTGAGTACATTTACCATTCTTTTTATCCTTAATTGCAAAAACACCTTTGGTGATCTTTCACTGTATTTGCACTGAAAGCAAATTTAAGCAAGGCAAATGTTTAGACTGCAAATTTCCACATATTCTTCCGTGGCCTTGTCAAAATTGCATGGAAAATATTGTTTATTGAATAATTACTTTGAGAGAACGACTAAACAGCAATGGGAGTTTGTTATTTGCACATTCTGACAAAAAATACAATAAAATCAAGTCTGGGAGCATGAGGCCCTGTTGCAATAGCTCTGCCTTACCACTGCTGTTTAAGACTGACTAGTCAAATGCACAGTTGTTTGAATGTCTCGTGCTTTTTAGCACCTCATGTGGTTATAGATGAAACCACTACTGTTTATTGTGTGGACTTTCATAATGTTTATAGGGCACTTGGTAATGGTGATGATGTCTGCTTTCTGATTAATCTATGAGCTATTTATGTCCTGAAAATAGCAGGTGTTGTGATGCTGCTGAACAGCTCTTTTTCTGAATACGGAAAAAAAAGTTGACTAAAAGTTACGTTCAGAACCCCACAAATTGGAATGTAACTTCAGATTATGAAGAAGATCTGTTTTAAATCCAAATTTTCAACACCAGGACTGAGATGAAGAAGGGAAACAATTTTCTTGCAGACTCTGGAAATGGGTCAAATATCCTAAGGGTATTTGCCAGTTCAGTGAAAAGCTCAGTTTCCTAGATTAGTATTTCTTTTTGCTGTATTTTTTGGTCTAGCCTTCTTTGTCATAGCTTTTCTGCTCTGATGAGAAAACAATATTTTCTTTGGCTCTCCACTAGCAACTATAAGGAATATTGTCCTGCTGCTTTTAGTGTCTTTATGGTTTAATCTTTCTGCCTTTGTGAAGGTTTTTTTTGTTAATATCTTGTCCTCAGCTACTTGACTTGGTGTCCAATCTGTACGTATGTACGCATCTGTCATAGAATCATCACAGAATCATAGAATATTTTGGGTTGAAGGGACCTTAAAGCTCATCCAGTTCCAACCCCCTGCCACAGACAGGCAAACCTTCCGCTAGAGCAGGTTGCTCCAAGCTCCATGCAACCTGGCCTTAAACACTGCCAGGGATGGGGCAGCCACAGCTTCTCTGGGCAACCTGTGTCAGTGCCTGTCACGCTGGAGACAGTGAAGAGCTCACGATTAAACCAAGAGGGACTTCTACTCTATTTACTATCACTTTGATGCCCTGGAATAGTTTGTATTTGTGCTCTTAATGGTGCTTCTTTAAGCCATTACCTGCTTTTATCTTCTATTTTCTCTGTATTTCCTTAAAGTTATCTCCCCAATCCTCTCATCACTAGTTTTCTCAGTTTATTGAGTTTTATGTTCTCAAAGTGTTTTATTATCCAATTCTCTTTTCTTCTCTTTTTGGCATCAAATTACAATTGTGTTCTCCATTCAATTGTTTTAGTAGGTTCCAGATCCTGTAGAGGAAGTATTTCTTCACACGAGGTTTTGAGAGGTTTGCTTTTTTTCAGGGGGGGGATGAGGGGCGATACCAAAGGTTTCAAAACATGACCTGTTTTTGGACTTTTTAGTGTTTTTCACTGAACTTGTCCTCAGAGACATGTTTACTCCAGGCTTCCTTGATATTTTTGTTTGTTTCTTTACCAATACATAATAGAAAATTCATTGCTCTTGACTATAAACTACTCCTGTGCTTCAGCTTCTGCAAATATAAGCTCTCCTACCAAATCCAAATGCGTAATATGCAGCATTTTATTTGTCCTTGGGTGACATTTGCCCTGCATTATTACGCAAAACATCATAGCCAGTTTTCTTCCTCTATATTTCACATGCTGCCTTGTACCACCCACAGCAGCAAGAAGATCCAGCTCAAACAAACATTAATCAGTGAAGCTTTTCACACAGTCTTGGTTATCACTGCTTTTTAGTTAGTTCAGCACAATAAAAATATACCTCTGATACAATATCATGCTTTCTTTGAATGGGACTGTACCTACTCATTGTTAACAACATTGTACATAACCAAGAAACTGTGGACGAAGCTCCACTGTAGAAAGTAGATGCTGTTTTACCTGATCCATCATAATAAGCAAGAATATTTTCAGAGTAAGAGGAGAACCACAAACTCCTTGTTTGTTTGTATTTGTAAAACTTCCCCCTAAGAAGAGTAGAAACAAAAAAGAAAAGGCTTTTTGCTCCACTTTATCCATGTTCTGTCTATTGTCATTATCAAGCTATCACTAAAAATGCTGCTGGGTTTCTCATGTATTTTCTAGTGGTTTAGACTATATTATCGAACCAATTCTCACAGAATTTAGCACACAGTACCCAGAGAAGCCTCTTGGATCTCCTTTTTCAGGCTGGGGCTAGTCTAAATTGGCTTCTGTTTTGATTCCTGATTCCCAGTCTTTTATTCTTCTGTGAAAACTTGTAGCGTTCTCTAGCACTGGTCCTGCTCCCATGCCTTGACAATATTTAATCTGATGCCTGGTGTAGAGAACTCTGGAGCAGAGAGAGATAAGAATAACCCCTTGCTGCATGAGAAAGAATGCAGTAGATTATTCCTTTCATCAGGATCTCCTTGGAGTACCTCACCTGATATTTTGCATTTGCTGCAGTTGGGATTCTTGGTGGCAAAGGACTTGTAAAGCCTGAGCAACTTTTACGGGAGCCTGACTGGTAATTTGCCTTACAGCTGCAGAGGTTGTACCCAAACCTCTGCATCTTGCTCCCTGTCTTAACCCAGGAAGCTTCTGCAAGAACTTTTCAAATCTGTTGTTGTCAGCCTCCAGGCAAAACTTTCCATCCCTCTGTCTTCTCTTTGAGCAAGAAATGGTACTGAAGCCATCTCTCAAAGCAAAAGCATCTTGCTTGCAGATAAACCTAAGTATGGGGGGACTACCTAGATAGGGTGTACAGTGCTATAGAACAGTCAAATGTTCAAATGAGAGTGCAGCTCTTCAGAAGTGGGCTGACCATCCTCTTCTTGAGTTGGCTGGAATTACCAGCCTGCCTTAACTTGGGGACCCTGCAGTTCATGGCGGATTTCGTGCTGGAGCTGGGAGCTGCAACCCTGGAGAGGAGCCACACTGGAGCAGTCTGCTCCTGAAGGACTGCACCCCATGGAAGGGACTCACATTGCAGTGGTTCATGAAAGACTGTATCCCATTAGAAGGACCTACACTCGAGCCCAGGAAAAGTGTGAACAGTGTGAGGAGCAAGTGGCAGAGATTAATGTTATAAATTGGCTTTAACCCCCATTTCCCATCCTCCTGCACTGCTGTGGATGGGGAGTGAGAAGTAAATCTGGGAAGAAGATTGGTTAGGGGAGGAGGTGGTTTTAATTTTGTTTTTAATTCTCACTATCCTACTGGTATCAATTATCAATTTGAAATTAACAAGTAAATTTCAAGTCTGCTTTGCTCATGATACCAACTAGTGAGTGATCTCCCTGTCCCTATCTTGACCCATGAGTCTTTTCATCATATTTTCTCCCCCTGTCCTGCTGAGGAGGGGGAATGAGAGTGTCTGGGTTGGCAACTGGTGGCAGATTGCCCAGACCCACCATGGTCAACTCACCATGCAAGGCTTATTCACTGATAGAGCTATAATACGAAATCGGATGCTGTAAACATAAGACTTTATACTAAAAAGTCATTTTGTGCTGACAATACATCTTTGGATCTTCTGACTTTAATCTTAGCACTCTGCACTGAGCTCTGAAAATTTTGTTTACTCATTCTATTCTCTCAGCGGCCAGTAAGTACCACTGACCAAACAAAGGTAAGTGCTTTTCAGACTGATTTTGTCCGACTGCTGCCACAGTCTAACAGAGCTTCTATCGTCACCGTGTAGTGTTCATGTCTAGCAGTGTTTATATTTTGGATTTCTATGTGTATATATGAAAAAGAAATCTTGGACAACCCCCCTGAAATGCTTTCTGTGTTAGATTTCTCTCTGAAGTATACAACCCCCTCTTCCGTGCAAAACAAGTGGCCACATGCAGAATGTGCTTAGTACAGAAATGTCTTGTACTCTCTTCATCTCTTGTGTGAGAGGAATATTACCTAAAACAAACCTGGGTGAGACAGCTACTGAAAAGCTCTGGCCTGACTGCTTGCCTTTATCTCCAACCTCCCCAAAACAGTCAAATAGGGAAGGTTAGAATTGAACACCACCAGTTACTGTAATGATAGGGCTGCCTCCTTAATCAGGCTGCTTAGTACCTGAAGAGCTATGAGACCTTTATGAACACTGCCTCTCTCCAGGTCTGAATGTCTACCAGCTGTGCTTACTATCACATTCTTTATCATTGCCATTCCTGTGTAATCAACAGTGATTGCCTATCTCATGGTGCTACATACAGCAAAAATAAAAATGTATGCATATATGCAGACATCTTTATGCATATATACATTTCTCTCTGTGTGAAGCTGTGACTATATACACAAAAAGTTATGGTTCTTCCCTGAGAAATTAATTTCTTAATTTCCCATCAACAGAACATATCATTATATATCAATGTTGTGAAAGACCCTATTAGACAGACAGACACATGAGGGATAAAATTAAAAGTTGCTGTGGAAACCATAACCTGAAATAAGTCCTTCTCTTCTGCACTCAAAGTCCCAGTCTTTTTCTTCTATTAGAATACTGTTTGCATGTAATTTCTTGCTTTAGGAAAAGGAATCTGAATTGCTGATACACAAATGGAAATGCCATCTGACTGTGACTGTAAAGTGTATCAGGTTAATGGATTCCCCCCCCCCCCCACCGCCCAGTTTTTTCATTTCCAGTGAGTATTTTAAGCCCTTCGCTTGCCCTGGTACCAGTCTGGTGTAAGGCAGAAAAGATTTTAATCCCTGTTGGTCATTCCTGCCCATCTATGACCTGCTGCAGAAGTTTTTTGGAACTGTTGATATTATTGCCTTCACTGCAGTTAATTTTGATTAGGAAACAGCTTGGGGTAGGGTATAGAGGAGGGAAGAAGGAAGAGTAAAGAAAGATATTAAGGCACAGAGGAAATGCTTTGCTGAAAAAGAGCATTCTTTAGCACCCAGTGGCAGCTGTTATCATCCCTCCATAGCACGTTCTTAGAAAATCACATTGCAAATGTGGCTTGTCAAATAAGCAAAAAGTGACTTGAGCTCTGTACGTACCAACTGCTTTGGTACTGGAGGCTTGATCATGCTAAAGCTGGCGTCCGTGCTCCATCCTTGAGATTCTTCTGTAGCTGTTATTTTCTGTACTCGTCTGTTGGCAAATTCATTCACACAGTGTTAGCCTGGGTCAGGAATGTGCTTTTGAGAAGAAACTCCCGATGGTCTGTGCTTACTCTGCTGGGTTCTTACTGTCAAGCAGCCTTGGAGCACACAGCAAACATGGCATCTTTTCTGATGGAGCTAAAACAGAATAGGCACCCCAAGAATAGGCACCTAATGCTCTCCAGCCACTAATGGGTGTTCAGTTCACAGGATCAGACTAGAACCAGCCCAAAATAAAATCCCCCCAACCCATGCTCTTCTCTGTCATATCACTCCTAAGCCACACAGCTGATGAGATAAACATAGCTTTTGTTAAACAAGCTCTTCCTGCAGTGTGATATTTTTTTAAAATCTGCTTTATATGCAAGAAATAACTTGAGCATCAGCTCCAAGAAGGCACTGAAAAATACAGATCCGCAGTGCTCATGTATTGAAGATCTCTTTTGACGATTACACAAAGGATGTGCATGGAAAGGATGGGCCAAATAGCAAATATGCTCCTGTTATGAGCTTTTCTGTTTAGGAAAAAGCATTACATCCAGATACTTCTGGTGACCTGCTAACCCTGGATTGCTCAGCAAGAAAACATATAAGACCTGTGGTTGCATGCAGGCATTGCTGCCAGCTAAGCCTCACAAATTTTGTTCACAAATGCTGAAATACCATAAAGGATGATATAATATCAATCTATCTGTGCAGTTCCCTGAAAATGCATGAGTCCCATTTGGTTTATTCAGTAATAAAGGGAAAAAAAAACCAAACCAAAACTGGCACAGAACTTTTAGTGTTATCACACAACAGCTTGCTTTTAAAAAGCCATTGTGCTTAAGTGCAAAATGAGAATTAGCATATCTACATCTACTAGAGCCAATGTTAAGACCAGTCCCAGCTCTGGAGTTCACCCTCAAAAAACATTTTATATACACACACTCTCTGATTTTTTTGTCCTTCCAGTTCTAGTGCCATCAATGCAGAATTCAGACCTGGTGGAAACTGAATTTACTCTGAACCAGTATTTGGCTCCTTTATGCTACCTTGTAAGTTGAGTGAGGAGCTGGCGGTGAAAGAAGCTAGCCTAGGCATTGTGAAATCCTACTCTCCTTTAGGAATACAGAAATGACATCCTGGAGGTGGTTCTAGGCTATTCTAACTTTGTATATGGGTGTACATGGGTGGTATGGAATACCCCTTTGGCCAGTTTAGGTAGGGCGTCCTGTTTCTGCTTCCTCCTGACTTCCCATACCCCTCCTCACTGGCAGAGCATGAGACTGAAAAAGTCCTTGATCAGAGTAAACATTACTTAGCAACAACTAAAAACATCGGTGTTATCAGTGTTGTTCTCAGGCTAAAGTTAAAACCACAGCACTGCACCAGCTATTAAGAAGGAGAAAAATGACTGCTACTGCTGAACCCAGCACACATGGCTAAGAAGTATGTGGTCAATAGGAGACAACAGACATGCCACATGCCTATGTATTTACACCAGGCAAGTGTATTGCAGGTGATGTGCAGAGAATGAAACTGATGATGACATCAACTGCATCAAGGTGGAACAGAAGCAGTGATTATTACATGACAAAGAGCAGTCATGTTGGAAATGTACTGTACAAAATGGTAGAAAAACTGTTTAAAGGTAGTGGAGGAGTAGCCACTAGGAGAATCATATTTTAAAGATGTTAAGAAATTATTAAAAAAGTGATAACACAGATAATGTAGATTAGTTATGATTAAAATCATTTTAGAAAAGGATGTCAAAGGGGGCTCTTCTGGGATAGACTAGGGAGTTGAATTTGAGTATGAACAAAGAATTATTTAATGCTATTAGAAAGAGAAATACTCCTGAGATCTGTACCACAGGAAATATTAATTTCTTAGTCATCAAGACTGAAAACTACTGGCAATCATACACCCTGGGTCTGACAATCAAAAGATCTGTTTAACTGAGCAGTGGGTGAATCAACAGAGGAGGATACTACTTAAAATTTTGTTTCTCTGACTAACATTAGCAACTTAAAGGAGATGGTTGTAGGAAAATATCCTCAAGTGAGCAAGTGAGGTTGATATGATCTGGAACGTGGGTCTGTGACTCTTACTTTAAAAAGGGAGGGAACTAAATGGTGAAGAATGAACCAAGAAACTCAAGATTTCATTTTAAATGAAGCCTGGCATTTCTTTATGTAAAAGATGTAAAGCTCTTGGGGACTTCTGTTCTAGAGCAAAGGAAAAAATAGCCTCAACCAGCTCTGGAAATAAAGACAAATTCACTTAAAATGGACATTAGGAACACAGAGGTACAAGGGCCATCTCTCCCCATCAGTTTGCCCTGCAGAGAGACCTGTCTTAAAGATCAAGAAGCTCAGGGAGAAAGTGGAAATTGCTGGCAGCTCTGCTAAGGCTGGTCTTGCAAAATACCTTCAAATGCTAAGCAGTGGGTTTCCTCGGGCTGTGTGCAAGGAGAAGAGTTGTGGTGGGAACAGCCCTGAGCTTCAACATCCTCATCGTTTGGGAGAGCCAGGGGATCCTGTGGGGCTTGTGTTTGTAACTGGAGTTACACACAGTCAGTGCTCTGTAAGTAGAAAAGCGGGGGGGGGGGGGGGGGGCATGTGTGACAACCATCACAGAGAAACTGCTTGATGTGCACCTTCACAACAGAGGATTCAGCAGGTGGGTGGGGAGAGATGGAAATTAACAAATCTGTCTTGATGCAAGGCAAGCATACAAGATGGTTCCTATTAAATTTTTGTGTCTGTTCCTTAGGAATAGGGATAAATGCCTCACCTGCCTAGGGAGGATGTACTTCTCCTCAAATCCTGTAGTGGCTGTATCTGGATCAGAAAACAGTTGGCTCTGATGATTATGGTAAGAGCTGATGTGGGTGGCTTTGCTTGACCCATGTCTGATAGATCACACCCCTTTCTCAGGATGCCAAGTGGTAATCAGTGTTATCTTAGACTACTGTTGGATGGACAGAGTGAAAATTTGACTCTGGACTTCCAAAGAAATATGCTTAACGCTTCATACAAAATTCCCTTCTGTGAATCACTTCTCATTTCCTGGTATCTCTGACAAAACAAGCTGAGTACAGCATTGCTCATTCTCACTGATTACTTAGCCTCTGATCTGTTTGTGTTTTGTTTTACCTTAAATTCCACCGGTTTGTGTCCTAGTTTTTGTGTCTGGTTTACTCTGTGACAGTAGAAGCAATCTGATATTCTTGGGTTTTAAAATAATTGAAAACTCAGTGAGCCTGGACACCATAGCTGTAAATGGCAAGGTAAAAGATTCCCAATTGTACTATTTTCTGGAGCCTTAACCATGATTTTGAACAGTCAGGGTTAACAATAAACATACTAGCTACAAATAATTAATACCTATATATTCTTTTAGAAAATCTCTACTCTAGACCCTGCACTTCTATGCCAAAGGAGCTCCCATGCTTGTTTCCTGAGCTTAACATTTTTCAGGCTTTTAAAAATGCTATAATGAAGCCTAAGAAGAGGTAAAATAATGATATGGTAAGTGAGAAGACTTAGGTTTAATTCTTTGTTGCTGTTTTCTTTTGTGATCTCGGGCAAGCAATTTCTATTTGATTCTTCATCTGTAACTGAGTACAATAGCACTTCTTTGTTTTTCCTGGAGCTGCATTATTTTAATCACTGTAAAAGACAATGAAGAGCTTAGACACTACAACAAGGGGGACTGTGTTAAATACAACACCTCAACAGAAGTAGAAAAAATCCACTCTGAGGCTCCTGATATTTAAGGCTCGACTGTTTAATATTTCTATCAGTTTGTCCTGCCCTCTGTAAACATGAGAGGTGAAGATACCAAGAACTCTGCATCTCAGTGGGTTAAAGACCTGAACCCTGCTGCTGAATCTAACTTTGGTCTTGCTAATACAAATATCTTTTTGACATTTAATCTTAGATGTTGAAAAAGACTATAAAAACCTACACAGCTGTGAAATGGAACAGTGGGATGAACTTGCCTTTTCTGTTTGTTTGTTAAAATAGGAAATAAGGCACTTAATTAATTGCTTGATTTTGTAGCTAGATTGTTACAGCTTGGTCCTAGTAAAATATTCAACCAACTTAGAAAAATTAGAGATTAGTAGATCAAGAAGGAAATTGCACAGCACATTGGTCCTCCATAGCTATAACGGCTGTCCACAAAAGATGCTGGCTAACACCTTTGGATTTGATGAACTTAAGGCAGAAGCAGCCTGAAAGAAAGAAATTGCCCTGCCATCTCTGCACAAAACAGTGCCCTGACAGAGAAAAACGCTGGCTGACAGCACTGTCATTTAGATAAATGTCTGGTTTATCCACAGGTTGTTTTTCTTTAATTCCCATTCTCTTTGGGAGCACTCTTTAGTCTTTTAGGGACAGTGTAATAACTGTATTTCCGTACTTTCCTACTTTATGCTTGAAAAAAATGTAGGTGCTCAACTTTGCTCTCTTGGCACACTTGCAAATGTGGAAAACATGAATTTGCAGGCAGTGACACTGCAAGTAGGAGCTATGTATCAGATTATGACTGTCTTGTGGTCTGTGAAGCTTCTCTGGGCAAAGCAGTGGGCCACCTGTGAAGATGTGGGTGGTACCAACATGATGAGACAGAAGAGAGATGGTGGGGGTTGGAGCAAAGAAACAACTACAACGTGGGGGGATACGGTATGAAAGGAGGAAATAGAAATACACGTCTTAAAGAGCAGGGGAGAAATGATAGCACAAATGACAGGCTTCTGCCTGATTATTTTGCATTTGTGTTTCAGGTAACTTAGCAATACTTTAAATGCATATACAGCCAGACCAGAAAATGTATTCCTGAGGGAAGTGATACTTGTCATGCCTCTTCCTGGCAACAAGGACCAGAGTCATCCAGATCATATTCATTCTGGCCTGCTCTGCATTATTCCCACAGCATGATGCTAAGCAAATTGCAAGCTGTACTAATTGGTCAGCAGGGGATTTCCTTGCACAAAAAAAGGCCCTCAAAAGGCTCAGAAGTGCCCATACTTTAACACAGCTTAATGACAGCAGGCTCTACAGGAGCTGGTGCTTGTATTTAAGTGGAGGAGGTACTGTAAGGATACAGGTCTGGCAGCTTCCTTGGCCGTGTGTGTGGGCTGGCCTTTCCCTTCCGGCTGTGATCTTAGCCCTGGGGACTTGAGAGCCAGCATGTTACTGCAGCAGCAGACAGGGGAGACCAGCTCAGCTGAACAGAGACAGACCTGTTGGCAAGGTGCTCTCCCTAGGTTCTGGATTGTGGGTTTCACTCTTTCTAGTTATGGTTCCAGAGGCATTCAACAGTCTGGCTTACCATAAGTCTTCATTTTCTTTTTCTGGGGCTTGGGGAAACTGCTGTCCTTACCTCTTTTAGATCATTAACTTCATTTTACCTTAGGGTCTGTGACAGATACCTTCCGTAATGTAAAGAAGGTAGCTCAGTTTTTATCTGTGATCTCCTGCAATGCTGACACTATTGTTTGAACTTCTTGCCCATTTTGGCAAGGAAGCTCTGGGAGATGCATTTGAGCAAGGAGCCCTCCTGTGCTAGAATGTTTGACTGGGTATGTCATATAGTGACAGAAAGAAATACACTGGGACTGGGGAACATGAGAAGGAATTGACCTCATATTTTCTGATTGTATGGTGGAATGTTACAGGTAGAAAAGAGTCTCTGTGCTATTTTTGCACCAAACAAATGTGAAGTGCAAAAAGTCCTACCCATGCCTTCCTGGGCTACTGAATAGAGGATGTGGTTTACACCACCTCATGACCACAATGAATGCAAAGATACTGTTTGTACAGCTTCCTAAACAACCTGAAAATGTGAGTTCTCTGGTATTTTTTCTTTAGGGCATCTGAATCTTTGTAATTACCCAAGTCCTACTTCCTTTACAGCAATATATCCTGCAGCAGAAGTGAATGAGATGGGATCATACTGTCACTGTGTATTTCCATGATAAATGCAGCACAGATAATTCTAAACGGCCTCACAATTCTTATGAAAGATTAGCAGTAGTCTTTAGTTTGATTTTTTTTTCCTTCTTTTCTTCTTCCTTTAGAATTCAACAAAACTTGGAAAAGGAAAGAAATTTCCAGGTCTGGCGACACTTTTTCTGTATGGCAGTGAAAGAATATGTGTTACAGAAAAAAATGAGAAGAGATGTTGGCAGAGGCACAGGAGTCAGAAAATGTGTGATAATTTTCCTTTATGCTCCCTAAGCAGCTCAAGTGGCCCCTGAACTGCCTATATTAAAAATAAATGTAAATTAAAATCAAGCTGCAAGTGAATTGCACAAGCAGTTCTAGGTTCACTTTTCCAGTAACAGGAATGGAACTGGACAGCTGACAGAGGCCAACTGAGCACTTGGGTATAAATCAGTGATTAGGCAATGCAAGAGAGAAAATTCCTTAGCATGAAAAATACTAGGGAATTAAGAGTCCCTTCAGTTCCTGAGTCATCCTTTTGCTCAGAAAAGGTCTGCCATCACATACCCCCTTATCTCATCATTTCTGACTCTGGAAAGGATTCTTTATGATGTTTCCACTCTATGTTTTTGTATTTACATTTATGTGGCCTATGCGTGTTTCTTTTTTTACCTTTCCCAATCCCAACGTTGAGACGTTAAAGCTTCTCTACTCCGTACCTGCAGTTTTCATTGATACTACATCCAAATCACACCTCAGCTGCTCCCAAAGATTTTTGTTTCAATTGTTATAATCCTCTTTTCCAAAGCTGGCTAGGGGACCCTCAACCAGGACTTCCTGCAAGTGCTTGACTTTGTCACATAGCAAACTCTTCAGTCCATTTTCCTCTACCCTTCCCTAGTGTGATTTGGAAAGAACATAGCAAGGACATTTATTAAACATTTTCTCCTTCCTGCCTCTATGTTCTTACTGTATTTTAATGCATTTCTTCTCTGTATTTCCATTCTGCTCCATTTGCTACCCTCTCTGTTGAAACCAGTCATAAAAAGCCAAAAACTATGTCATGATTGTGTTGCTGTCTGAGTTTCAGGCAGTTAGACAATATTTATTGATGGCAGTACACATCCTGGGCTGTAATCCCACATCCACTGGTGTAGTCAGCTCAGAACAGGGTATTCCAGATGCAGTCCATCAAAGAGGGAAGACAAGAGTACAAACTCCTGGGCTGCTGATCTTGCAAATTTGTCTGTCTTACATTATCCTGAAAACCTGGGTGATTTTTAATCATCTGCTGCCCAGTATCTCACCAAACCCAGGGGCCCTGTCAGTAACATTTAACAGAACATATATGAATGTTGTAAAACTTAAATGATGTTGAAGTATGAATAATTTCTCTTAGAATGAGACTTTGGTCACTAACCACTATACAGTTTCAGAGCATAGTTCTCCACTGTCCTGTGCTTTGCTTTGTTCTCTACACCAGTGCAGCATGAGAGGGGTTACAGCTTTAGGAAACAAGGGTGTTGTGGCCACTTTACACAGTACTGTGCAATAGCAAGAGCTCATGAAGAGCAACTGTGAATGAAACCTCTAGTCTGATAATCACAAACAAGTCCAAACCAGAAACAGTTACTATACTTGATATCATTACTTTAAATTGAGAGGTGCATTGCTGTTTCCTACACAACTGATATTGCTCAGGACTCCTTGAATTTAATCCTGAAATAAACCCAGTAACATACCACAAAAAAAGAGCCAGCTTTTCCAGAAGCCATCCTAGAAACTTTTAACTTGCTGCTGAAGCCTGTACTATTAGATGTTTATAAGGGAAGCTGATCCCTGGTGATTTGTAATTCCTCCCCCCTGCCATGAGTGATATTTCTGCACACCATTTCAAATGCCTTCTTGACCTGACCTTTGCTTGGGAGGTCTTACAGACATTGCTGAACTCTACAGATTTGTTAACTTTAATGGAAATGCCCTAGAGTCTCATTCAGCTTACACAATGTTAGAGACATAAACTACACGTGCCTTGAAGCAGCACTGAGAGGAAGCAAATGTCATGTCCCCTTCTCCTTCACAAGAAACCTCTGTTGCCGCTGGTTGTCCCAGGAGCCTCATGTGGCAGAAGTGAGCGTTAACTCAGAGAAAAGCTGTGCCACAACTTTGTTCCCTTCGCCCACCTACCCAGCTTTCAACCTGCTGGTGATGAGAGGAATAGTAATGGACTAAGGAAAGAATTAAGAGTTTTCTTCAAACTATACATTGTCTTAACCTAGAATAGGGAACACATATGCTCTTGTTCTTGCCAGTTAAACTATAACCCAGAATAGAATAGGTAGCTGAAACACATTGTTTAAAATCAGAGACCCTTTTCCCTCAAGAAGATGAATGTCTGACAGGAATTTGTTTCAACAAGTTTCCGTAAGACTTGAGGTTGCCAGCTGGGGAAACTGTGCCAAGGGTGAAAAGTGCACTGCGAGGAAGACTGCTTACTTCATCTTGAAGACCCCTGCCTGTGACCATTGGAGGGCAGTGTGCAAGCACCAAAAAGGGAGGACACTTATGATAATAAGTACCTAAACTACTTATAATATCCCCGCCGAACTCTCGGGGACCTAATGAATATGTATGTTTGCATATAACAAATATCCATCTTGTTGAGCTCATGGTGTGTGAGTTAGGAGGAGCGATCCCCCTCACACCCGGCGCCGCAATAAACATACCTGCTTTATAACTCTTTGTGAGTTCTGAAGTTCTGTTTCATAAATCACTGGGTGCTCTGTGCCTTCTCTTTGGTTATCATCCCTTATATTCTGCGTACGGTCATCAACCTTCCACTGAAGAGTCTTCCTGTTGTGTGTGTCTGTGTGTACCTAGGTGCAGCAAGTCTCTAAATTTCTTACCAGTGATCAAGCCCTAACGATGGGGAGTGCAGGCAGATACATGGGGTCTGAGAACCTTGCCAGGAAGTGATCCCATTCTGATGTTTACTAACTTGTTGGTCCCCTGTTGCTACCAGGCGCTAAATCCCCACCCCAGGGTGCTCCCACAGAGCTATGGCCGCCACGGGGTAGGCCTGCAGAGCTGTGCTGGGTGAACCCCTGGTCAGCATGGGCAGCGTGGAGTGGGGCTTTCCAACGAGGAGGTCCCGCTCTCCCCGTGGAGCGGACCCTGCGGGCGGACAGACCACAGCGGGCGCGGGCGGAAAACAGCTCAGTCGCAGCGAGGAGTCAGCCGCACCTGGAGGACGAGACCCCAAGCATATGGGGCGGTTCCGGCGTCTGGCTGCCGGTGGGGAAGGGCAGGGGCGCAGCAGGGCCTGTGCCGTAAAGTAGCGGCGCGGCGGAGGCGGCCGGGCAGGTAGGCCGCGCAACTGGGACCGCTAGGGGGCCTCGCCCGCACGGGAAACGGGCGCCCGCCGTCCTGCTGGGCCTGGCGGCTGCGGTGTAGCCGGAATCGGGGCTTTGGTTCCTGGAGAGGGCGTGAGGACATGGCTTGGGGCTTTCTCCCGCATGGGTGCTGCAGCTGCCCGCACCCAGCAGAGCGAGTGCTTGGGCTGTTGGCTACACCCTTCACAAAGCATCTGGTAGCTGAGGCAAAGCTGCTCTGCTCCTGGAGAGCTTCCCTCTGAACAGGGGCCAAATCCAGCCCTTGGTGAAAGCCTGCTCTGGCTTTTATCCTCTCTGACACTTCTTCCATCTGTGCTGTATTTCCTTGTCTGCATGTTGGTCTGTAATGCATCACTTCTTTGGTTTTCCTTGTACAGCTGAGAAAAGGCAGGAAAAGTTACTGTTTCATAGCCTTCCTCAACCCCCTGAAGGACCTTTAAATCAGCCCTTTGGTCCAGTAGCACAAAATAAGCCAAACTTTCTACTCTCACCCTTCATTCACAGTGTGCATTGTGGTGTGGGTAAGAACAGGCCATGGAGTGGGCTGATTAGAAGGGGTGGTTCAGAGGAGTGCTACTTGATTTATTCTCTGTTGAATCTAGACTGCTTAGTTTTGGGTTTTTTTTTTTTGTTTGGTGCTTTGTTTGCAGGTTTGGAGCTGGGAGGGTGTTTCAGTTGTTTATTGTTCACCAGTCAAAGAAGAAAGAGAAGCGGTGGCGTAAATTGGTTGTGAAGTGCTTTAACACTATGTTCAGTGAGCTGGAGGCACAGTTGAAGGCCAGGCAGCAGGGGTTGGAGAGGATTGTCATATACCAGGGTGTTCAACAAGGAGAAACAGGAAACATGGTAATGGTTTGACTTTGTGTAACTTGTATTTGTGGAACATAAAGCAAGCTGAGGATATATACCAGGCCATATCTAAAGCAAGGGAAAAGTCTCCATTCAGCGCTCTTCCTGAGCTCAAGGTAGCTTTTGAGCAGTGTTGAAATGTGGATAAGATTTGAAAATATGCGCTTTGATACTACTCCAGTTTTCTCTGCTGTTTGTAGCCTTTAAATCTTGGTACTTGTAATTCACCAGTCTCACTGGCTGTGCGTGCCTGGTCTGAACAGTATTGTTGCAGTAGTCTTCAACAGCGATCATGTGCGCCCAGATGTAGTGTGCTGTACTGAGCTTCTGTGGGGTGGAGATGGCAAACCAACTTTCTCTCCCTCTCTCAACTCCTAGGAGGTGCCAGGCAGCTTTCAAGTGAAGTGGTACTTCTGTTTGTTGGATCTGAGCTGTGATGAGTTCAAGCAAGTTTATTTCAAGTCTGCCTGGCTCTGTAAGGAGAAAACTGCCCAGTCTTTTCTTTGCCTGTTCTCCCCCTTCTTCCCCATTTCTGATTGATATTTATGTATGTGAAAAAAAAAAAAAAGGTCATGCTTACCTGTAATAGATATATTTTGCTTGGAAAACTGTTTTGGGTTCAAAATGACTGCAGTTTACTTGCTGTCAAAGTAAATGTGGATGAAAAACACAACCTGAAAACCAGCTCAGAGCTGAGCTCTATCATGACAGAGCATGCAAACCTTGTACTGGCCCAACACAGAGCTGATAAGGTAGTTCAACATTGTCCTGCTAGACATGCTGGAAAGGCTGAAAGAGCCCAGATCAGTTAGCTGCAGGACATTAAGGGACTGTTAATATGTGGTTAAAGTCCCCTTGCTAGGGAAGGTGGGCCAGACACTGGATTGCTCTTTGTTTTGGTACTGGTTAGTACTAAACTGACTAAGTTTGCTAAGTCTCCTTGAAGAGATCTCTTTTTGCATCTGGCTGGGGAGCAGTGCTGGTCTGTGTTGAGCCCACCTGGCCATGGGTCAGTTCAGACTGTTTCCTGGCTACTTCCAGAATAAGAGATGGATGTGAAATAGATGGATGTTGGTTACTTTTGCTGTGGATAATGAAACTTCTTTGCTCCTCCTGGTTAACTGTGTGTGTGTGTAGCAACTATCTTTTGGTGTTTGCCAGACTAGAAACAACTGGAATGCAAATTGCCTGATTTCTTATTTCATGGCTGTGGACTGTTTTATGCAGCTTTGTACTGTGAAATATGGGAAACCAGGCTTAGCCAAAAGTGAGTTGCCTAGCAGACGCTTACTGTCATACAAATTAGCCACAGCTTTTGCATCTTGGAGTGCTGCCAGCAGAGCTAGCTATTGCATTAAATGTCTACTACCAGTCATGATCTAAACTGAAAGCGAGAAGATTAATTGCTCTTCTAGCATTATCTTAGCAGTTAGCACTTTTTGTGGTGTTAAACATGTTTTTCCTCTTTAAACCCAAACCGCAAAATACTGCTCTCAGTTTCAAACCAGTGAGTGTATGGGAAGAACAGGAAAAAAAAGCAATTAAGTATAAGTATCACACATGTATAAGAGCTATCTTGCTTTAAAGTGGAAAGGGAAGCTAATTGTTTTAGTGCTGCCCATCTGGTATGTAACAACAAATACCTTCAAAACTATAGTTTCAGGAAATATATGCCTTAAAGAGTGGATACAGTTTACTTGAGCTACTAGTGGGTACTACACAATAGCTTTCAATAACTATTTTCTTTGACTTTATTCTGCCTCAACCAAGTAAATTAATACATAATTGTACTAATGTAGTTTGACTAAAGAAACACAGTACTTTTTCCTTGCCTAGAAATATTTCCGTCTGAAATTTTCCCGAGTTGCAAAGTTCTTAAGAAGTAACTCACTTGAACAAGAAATAAACAATGTTGGAATTTTGGAAACTTCAATAAGCTGCTGAGGATATAAGGTTGTTTTCGGTAACTGATGTCTGTTGTAAGTGAAGAATTTGACACCAGAAAGGCTAGTTTGAGTTCTGTTGGTAACCTTGACTGTTCATACCAATGCTGCTGATTTCTGTTTCTGTTCTCTGTAAAATTTCTTCTTAGCCAAGCTCTGCATCACCAAGGCTTTCATTTCTGCACTTACTAAATGACAGATGGAAACGCTAGATCAAAGAAATGTTTATGTTTCTTCTAGAGGTTTAGCTTTCCTGATTGAGGAGGAAAGTGAGAAATTTGACCCAGGCTCCCCTGAGACAAATGAAAAATCCTAGAAAAAAAACTCCAAACCCTAATCTATTGAATTCATTTCAAAATTCTGCAGGGGAGGAGATAGCATCGTCTTGTTGTAATTTTTAGCAGTCCTGCTATTGGTAGTACTGTCCCTGTAGTGCAGCAGCCCTTTTTTGAAGAAGAAAATGAGAGCCACCAACAGATGCCATTTACTCCTTGCTTGTGTGTGGGAGTGTTTGTAAGTGCCTGCTGTGACCGAGTGACTGCTAACCCATTAGTTCTCTGCCTGAGAACAGCTACTCATGCACTGGCGCAGCTCTTGTTGCTACATGAGACATGGTGTTTGGTTTATCCTTAATCCTTACAGGGCTGCTACAAGAGTTTCCTGTCACTTTTCTTGCAGCGTTTACTCTTTGGTCTGTAGAGTTCAGAAAAGCCTGTTTCTTTTGTGCAAGGGAATCTGAAATGTAAAGGCCAAATGGTAATGTGTACTAGCCTAGAAATAATGTGCTGAGTTTGTAACTGCTGGAGAAAATAATTTGGCACATAGTTATTTCTGTATACCTCCCTAGCACCAAGAACAATTAGGCACCAGCTGAAGACAGTGACTGCCAAATCCACATTTGGATGAGGTGGGTGTTTCTGGGTGGTGCAGTCATGCGTTAACAAGTGTGACTGCCTCACTAAAACAAAAGTATATTTGTTTCCCCAAGACCTTTGTAGGGATATACCATCCTTAAGAGGAAAGGAAACTGATAAAGCATCTGGTGGGAAGGAAAGGTAAAGAAATGAGTACAGGATAATGAGGTGTATTTAACTGCTTGCTGTTAGCAAAATCCATCCACCTGAACTGGATATAATGTTCACAGCTGCTTCAGGAATTATTCTCTGTGAAAGCTGAAGCGGGAGCAGGTCAGCTGCTCCAAAGCCAGCTCTCTGGGTTTTAGAAGGAATCTAAACTGATGGGCGGATGGGTGGGCAGCAACCAGCAACAGGGAGAGCAGCTGAAGCAGGAGCAGGGATAGAGATCTAGGAAGCTTTGTGCAAACCCCAGAGCAACTGTAAGCCCCTTCCCTGCAACGCATGCACACAGTCTTCTGAGAGAGATAGGAAAAGGGCCATAGTTTGGTTTCTTTCTATTTGCTGAGTTACGACACAGAGCTACTTGCAAAAAATCTTAGTTCCAGTGCATAAAATCTTGCTTTCTCTTGCTCCTTGAATCCAGTGCTAAGCTCCAGTGGATACCTGTGTGCTTAACGGAGAGGGCAAAGCAAAATCCCAAGGAAATCTTAACCTTTATGCGTTTTGAAAGAGGAGCTCACTTTTTCTCTTAACACATCGCATACATGGCTAAATACTAGAGATTAAATGATCTTGTGTGGGGTTGTGTTGTTTGGCACAGTGGAGTCTGCTAGAGAACGAGTGATGAGTTGCAGTCAGACACAAAAAAATGATGGTCCACAAGCCGCAAGTACTTTTAATGGGATAACTACCTGCTCATTTGCTTAGATTTCTTGTGGTTGCATCTTCCACCACTGGGGTGTTGGAGGGTGAGCAGATACAGCTCAGCGCAAATGATATAAAAGAAACCACCCTGCATCTTGAGAAATGTTTAGCAGCTCAATTAGATTCAGAGTATAATACCATTAACAGTGCATAAATGACAGCTATTTTCTGTTTATCTACATATTGTTCCATTCTTGGACCTTTATCCATTATTATTTAAATAGGAGTATTTTAAGTATCATTTCTCCTCAAAAGCAACCCCTGTTTTTACTTCTGATTTGATTTTACATGACATTGTCAGACTTCGTACATGTAAGAGGATAAACAATATACTCTACCCTTCTGCAATCATAAACAGAGAAGCAGGGGAGACAAAGATAGATATCCTGCCCTAGATATCCAGTGCTATGACTGAGTACCCAGGAAACGTGAGAAACAGGTCTTCAATCTTAGATGTTTCAGTGGGGTTTTCTTTGCTGCTTTCTGCTACTCTGCTAATCCTTTTAGAAAGCTGAATTCCATGGCTTTTCTGGGAGACAGCAGAACACAGCTGATGTTTAAAGCAGTTTTTTCTTTCATCATAATGCAGCCATTGCCAAGGTCACGGGGGCTGCAGAGGCTGTGCTCTGACTGCAGTGGTAGGAAAGTGGGCTAGCTTGCACTGACCATCCACCAAATTCCATCCTGTCGCATCCTAATATCTTCAAAATTTAGCTGTGCTACTGCTGTGCTGGAGCTACATGGCATGACGAGCTTTCCATTAGATTCCTGGCTGGGTTAAAATCAACAATAAAGCAAATGCACTGTTTCTACTACTTGTGAATAGCATCTCATTTAGACCTTGATATGAAAGCAGAATACAGTAAGTTGCAAGTGACAGAAACAAATTAGCTCAATATTTCAGGTTTCAAACCTTGTCATCTTGCAAGAAACACCTCTGACAGCTGTTGTGTCAGCTGGTAGCTAGTGGGCAAAATATGAAGATTATTTAACTGCAGAGTTTGTAATACAGGGAAGGGGGAAGGGGAAGAGAACAATGACAGTGATGATTTCTTTCTGGGTTTTCTTGTCTAATGCAAACTACTGAAAGTCTCTTGGAAGAAGAACTGCAAAGACCAGTGAGTGATACCTTTCCAAATCTAACGTGTGCATAGTGGTCTTCTGTCTCAGCTTCTTTGAGATGTCCTTAAGCTGCTGGCTCAGGTGCCAAATCGGTGCTTTTGCAGGAGACTGCTGCTCCTGACAGTAGGGTTTGTAGTTCCTGTAAGGAGCTTCAAGTCCCTATTTCTGCTAGAAAGCACTGAATGGCTGGCAATAAACTCAGAGCCAGAGTCTTGCTGGCACAGCCTAGATCTGTTTGTCCTGAAAAGTGCAAAATCCATCCTTGGGTTCTGGTGTGGCTTTTAGCAGCTTGCCTGCACTTAGGGGTAAATGCCTACTTCCCTGTTAGTACCCTTAGCTGGTGGTAAACTTGCTTTGCTGGTTTTGAGGTGAGGGCTGTTCTTGCACTCAAAAGCGCTGTGGGCATGTAAATCGAAGGCTGGCATGTAAATCAAAGCTGGCCACAGTGCCATTTTTGAGGCCTTAGAAGGAGCCCACAAAGAGATTTGTTCATTGTGGTTACCTTTGACTGAACCAGGCTGGTCAGGGCTGGCTGGAGTGCCTGCAAGGTCCTTTTAGCTCTGCTGGGACTGGGGACATGGACTAAATGCTTTGGGGGAAGGAAGTGCCAGCCAGTGAGCACCCCACAGGATCCCCTGCCTAGGTGGGCACTGTGTACTGAAGTCACTTCCTCTGCCCTTACTGCAGAAGCTGCTGCACAACCTTTTCCAGGGACCCATGCTGCCAGTACCATGGTCGGTATCTGCTTTCTCACAGGCTTGGAAAGAGGGTGCACAGCCCTACTGCTTGAGGCAGCTGAGTAAAGAATTGGGGGACACCAGTCTTCTGAGCCAATGGAGGGCTGAACATGCTGAGCTGGAGCTGTTAGCCAAAGTTCTTCATTAGGTGGCACTCAACCAAACCTCACTAAGCCACCCAGTGACAGCAATGCTCTAGGGGCTCCTGCACAAACTGTGTGGCTGGGTTTGGTGCTGAAAGTCATATGAGCCGTGCCTCATAAGGTGTGTGAGGTAGGGGTGAGGACATGAAGAAAGGAGTCTCATGCATTTCTCCTTTCTCACATCTCCATTAGGAGGACCAGGTGCTCTTTATGAGCTTACCCTCCCTACATGCTACTGCACTGGTTTCTCAGAGCACCGGGCACTACGTGTACCCAGCTCACTGGAGGTGCCCCAGCTGTCTGGCTGTTTCCCTTGGTGCTGTGCCCACATCTCTTGTGGATGCACAGTGGCAGAGGGCTTGTAACACTGGCTGGCTATGAAACTAATAACCCATGAAAGCACCTCACCTGCTGCTGGAGTTCTCTGAGGGCAAAACACAGGCAAGTCCTTCATCTGCGGGAGAAAGCAGAGCTGCAGCTGCACTCAGCTAATCAACACAGGATGATGCTAGATATGTTTAAGTTACTACTCTTCCCTGGGAAAGGGTTGGCTCTGTGCTGCAGGCCTGTGCCAAACTAATAAAATCATGTCTTAATTCCAGGGTGTATCTTCTGTCTTATTTGTGATTAGGGTCTACTTCAAGTGTATATTTCCTTCATATTTAAGGTAGTACCTTAGGCTTCAAGCTAGGCAGCTGTGCAAATCCCAACTGGATTAGAGCCACAATATGCTACCTCTTTTTCCAGAGCAAAACTGACTGCAGATGATCCATCTCTTTAAAACTTGGGCAATTTATGCTCCCAGTGCTACTGATACAAAAAAGTCATCATGTAAATGAAGAGTCTCAGTGTTTTTTCTTAAATACAACAAATGTCATCTCAGTTATATAAATTTATACAGGTTAAAAACCCAGTGAGTATGTTCTCCTTATATGAACAAAAGCTCTTAAAGATATTGCCTACATCGCACAAGCTTCTGGAAGGCTTTCTTGAAATCTTCATTAAAGATTGTGTAGATTAGAGGGTTAATAAGGGAATTTATGTATCCCAGCCATGCTAGGAAATTAGACATGTCTTCCGAGATGTGACATCTTTCACAGGTATTAACAACTACTTCTTTTACAAAGAAAGGGAGCCAGCAGATCACAAATGCCCCTAAGATCAGACCCAGCGTAGTTGCTGCCTTTCGCTCTCTTGTGCTAGAGATTCTCTGTTTTTTCCAGGACTTCTCATGCTTAGATTCAGACCTGGGGCTTCGTATGGTGATACTGATTTTATCACAGTTCACCACGGGATCTGATGTCTTCTCTGCTGTGCTGGGCATTGAAACTGACTTGGTGCTTCTTTCACCTGCGTCCAAGAGCACTTGTCCATTTACCTCCTCCCTTACAATCCGGCTGACGCTTCTTCTGTGAAATGTCTTTGCTGCCTTGTATATCTTGTAATAAAGGATCAGAATCAAGGCCAGTGGGATATAGAAGGCGCCAAATGTAGAGTAAATGGTGGAAACAATGTGGTCGTGTTTGATGATGCATTCATCATCCCTGCTGGTTGTCTGGTGCCGCCAAAACAAAGGTGGCATGGAGATAAAAATGGATATGATCCATACCACTGTGATCATGATGCCAGCGTGCTTAGGTGTCCTTTTTCGTGCATATTCCACAGCATCTGTGATCGCTCTGTACCGGTCCAAAGCAATGGCGGAGAGATGCAAGATGGAACATGTGCAGCACGTAATGTCCACGCTCAGCCAGATGTCACACACCACTTGCCCCATGATCCAGGTCTCCTTTACAATGTAGACAATACTGAAGGGCATTACTAGGACTGCCACAAGGAAATCAGTCACTGCAAGTGAGCAGATTAGATAGTTGGCAGGGTGGTGGAGCTTTCTTGTTACAATTATTGCAGTCATCACAAGAGAATTGATGGCCGTTGTCATTAGTGCAAGCATAGATAGGGTAATGGAAATGAGAATCTTGGATGTTGCCCATTTAAATAATTCTTCTGATGTACCATTTTGTTCAGTTGAGTTTATTAAATCCATGTTCTTTTTTTAAAGGTGATCTTTATCAGTAGCAGTTCTTTATCAGTAGCAGTTACCTGTTGGAAAAGTAAAAACATTCAGAAAGTACATCCTAGAATCACAGAATCATAGAATAATTAGGGTTGGAAAGGATCTTAAGATCATCTAGTTCCAACCCCCCTGTCATGGGCAGGGACACCTCACATCCTTAGTCTCCAATCTGAATCTCTTGATTTTTGTCATCTTAAAAGACTATGGACCCCAAACTTACAAGACTTGTCACTGGAAATAATTTTGGATCCAGACAGATTTTCCTGGCTAGCACTGTGTGGGGGTGCTCTGCCTCCAGAATAGGGGCCTCCTTTTTCTCCTTGATCATGCTGTTGGGAAGGGCATGTTTGCATGCCAGGGGAGAGGAGCATCCTGTATTGCCTGAGATGGCACTGCCCTGTGGGGTGGTCCATGTTGCTGCACAAGGAACCAGACTTGTTCCTCAAGCAGGGCAGCAGCATCAGTGCAGCCCCTGGGGTGCAGAGCCAGCCCTCCTGCTAAATACTTACTCTGAATGGATTGCAGTCAAGTTTTGAAACTGGGTAAACTCACCCTGAAGTAAGTACTAATACTGCATTTAGGCACTCTCTACTCCACTAAGCAATGTAATGGCTCTTGAAAACTTTAATCCACAGGAAGCAGGCATAATACTTCTTTTCTGTCTAAAAACTCTCCCCATCAGTATATGAGTCCTCCCTTGTGTATAGATAAGCATGGGCTTTCTAAACAGGGATATAGTTTTCAAGAGAAAACAGAATCTTGAAACATTGCAGTACAAACAGGAGAAGAAACAGTTCCATGTGGAAAGGTTTCTTTTAGGCAGCTCTAAAATGAAACAGCTGGATATATTTTAAAGCTTCAAATGGTTGACTTATTGTCTAACTGAAATATTATACATAGAACCATAGACTGGTTTGGGTTGGAAAGGACCTTAGACATCATCCAGCACCAGCCCTACTGCACAGGCACAGACACCCCCCACCAGACCAGGTTGCTCCAAGCCCTGTCCAACCTGGCCTTGAACACTGCCAGGGATGGGGCAGCCGCAGCTTCTCTGGGCACCCTCTGCCAGCATCCCACTATCCTCACAGGGAAGAATCTCTTCCTAATGTCTAATCTGAATCTCCCCAGAGAACCCAGAGTAGAAGACGACGTGTGTGGTATCATGGAAGTTTTCTGTGTTCATCCAGTTGAGCTGTGTTTCCCCATCTTTATCAGTAGCAAGGCTGGAAGCCTCAGTTTGAAGCAGGACACGCTCCTCCACCAAATGGTTGCAAATCTTTCTGAGGTGAGCAATACCTGCTCAGTTCCCTGTGGATTTGTTTTTATTTCCTTGTACTCACTTTTAGAAATGCCTGAGCTGTTCCCCATGGGAAAACTTACTGAGACACAAGAGCCTACGAACAGTACTGCATCAGAGAGAAGGTCCATATGCCCAATACTTGGTCTCCAAAGAAGCCAAGCATCAGTGTCTAAAGGAAAGCCTATGAGCAGAGCAGGTCTACTTCTGCCAGGGTCCTGGGGGTGCTCAAAGGCCTCAGGGTCTGGGACCCATCTCCTCTGGGACCTCCACCCCACTGCCTCCTCCCAAAGGCCCAGGGAACATAGCTCGGCTTGGGGCCTTCTGTCCCTGCCTGAACCATGTAGCTGAGCCTTTCCCTGTCTCCCGGATGGGTCTGGGACCTTCATTGCAGACAGCTGCTCTCTTGGGTGGACCCCTTATACTTACGTCATCACTTGTCATGCAGAGCTGTTGGCATCACACAGCATAACCCATTCCAAGTCTAGTATAATCTGGTGTAGTACATTCCATTCTATCCCATCCTATTCTGCTCCATTCCATTCCATGCCATTCCATTCCATTCCATTGCTTCCCACTGGAGTCAGAAGGAGATTGTGATGCCTCCTAAGAGCCTGTGCCTTCCCTGTCTCCTGCCCGCACTCACTATTTAACAACTCCTCTCCTCTGTTGGATGACCCATGGCAAGGGTGTCACGCTTAAAGAACAGCAGCTCCTACACAAAAGCAGGTGAATTGCGGGTCCCAATCTGCACAGTTCAACCCCACACTTATTTTCTAAGCTTTCCTGCTGCTCCAGGTAAACCTGGGCTGGGTCTGCAGTCAAAGCAGCTGCAGAAACACCTCCCTGTCCAACTCTACACTCAGCTCCCCTCCCCGTTAAAGTCATGTTCCAGTTCTGGTTTGCATCAAGAAGGCCTTGTTATGGTGCTGAAGAGATCTTGGAGCAAGTGTCATTGCTGGTTAGGAGGGACAGAAAAAAGTTCTGTTTCACCTGCAGTTGCATCTTTCTTCTGTGCCACGCTGCAGGGACACATTCCATTTTTTTCCAGGCAAGCATTTACATGAGCTGGCTGCCAGCATGTCTGGATGCCTTCAACAGAACCTCCCCAGCACTACAGCTTTTCCTCTGGAGGATCTCTCCTGCCTTACATGCTTGGTGTCCCCATCTTTATTTCCATCACCATGGCATTTATTTTAACATACAAAGTGGTTAGGCCTCTGCCTGGTGGGAAGCAGTACAAAAGCAGCAGAAGTGTTGAGCTGTTTTACATAGCAGGGCAGACTGATAGGAAGAAAAGCTGCCAAACATTAAAATGGTAATAAAAGATGCGCATTAGCAACTGGGGATAAAACTTACCTGTTCATCTCTGGCTGGCAGTATAGATTTGCTTGAGGGTGTTGTTTCCTTACAAACTCATGCCTGCACAGTGGCCAGCTGCCCACTGGAGAAGAAAAGGCTCTGGGGTGTCCTCAGAGCAGCTTCCAGTACCTAAAGGGGACCTACAGGAAGTCTGGAGAGTCCTCATCAGGTCGCTGTGCTGGCACAACAGGTTAAAACTGCCTGACTGTCCCCCTCTGCTCAGAACTGGGAGGAAACAAACCCAAATGGGGCTTCAAGGCATAGATTAGATTATTACTTTTCCTCAAGTTTTGCTATTCTGTGGTTGCTGCTGAGGAAAACTGAAGAAAACTTGGATGCTGGTTGTTCTGCTGATGACTCTACAGGAACAGTGTAACTCCTCTGATGGCTCTGCAGGAAGCAGAAAGCATGGAAATACCGACTGAATAAATTCTCAGTTATGTTCTGGGTATGTGCACCCAGCTTTCTTATCAAGAAGGGTGTCTGATCACTCTGTGGACTGCAGCTTGAGCTTCCAGCTTTTTTAGCCTAAAGCTTGTAACATGCAGTAAGAGGATCACTTTCCATCCTCTTGCATGTTTTGACTTGCAATTTGTTGTGTAAGATCTACCTGATGAACCCTTAAGTGGGGTTTTAACTGACACATTTTAGACTGCAATGAGTGGGTTACACTTGTGTGCAACATGTAGATGTAGATGTGGCAACTTGATACCGCATGTAGAGAAAAATGGGAAATAACTGAATGATTTTTCATAGGAAAAATGTCATTAAAATAGCTAAAGCTTTTTGGTATTATGTTGGAGTGGCTGAAAAAGAATCTCATATACTGTTAATAACCTTGGACCCAGCTCACTAATTTGGTTTGATATTGTAACCTGGGACAATATTTAGTATGCTGTTGACCTACTCAGAAAGTTTTTTAGCACTGCTTGACCAACACTTAATTGTTTGGAAGACAAGGAATGGAAATGTATTTGACATGGTGATATTTACAAATGCTGAACAGAATCTTGTCCTGTATGTGAGCTCATCACAGCATGTGAGTGTTCTCTTTCTCTCTGTGTCTCTCCTCTGAACTTGAAATACACTTCACACACATAAAAATAGATCTTTCATCATGTCAGTGTCACCTTAAAACCTTCTGAATCAACAGTAATTGCTAGTTTGCAGATATTTTTGTCTACAGCTAGCTGCTTTCCAGAGAAGGAATAGGCACATATGGTATTATCTGGTGAAAGTTCAACCTCTGCAAAATAAATCTTAATTTTTAAGCTTGTATAAATACATGGAGGAAAGAAAGTTTACTGGGAAAAACTATGACTTCTGTTGATACCCAGCAGTTGATCATATTTTAGAAGCATTACTCATTATGGTTAATTACCTTATAAATTTCTAACTCTTTGGATGTTAGTCCTTAATTGCAAGCAAGCAAAAAGCAATTTAGAGCTAATGAAAGCTGATTAATAGCTTTTGAAAGACTATTCAGTGTGAGACGTGGAGTAAGGAAGATATTGCATGGGTGCGTTCACCAAACTGGTGTGTAGATTATACAGGTTACTTTAGTGCTGCAGTGATCTGGAGGCTCTTTGTAAGAAGCACACAAAATGTGCTTACTTGCCATGTGCAGTGATTATGCTTCTCTGTGTGGTTTTAAGATTATCAGCTGGTATGCTTAGATTTCATTCAGGCTGCTAGCCTGGAAGTACAGCAGTACTGAAGATTACCACATTGAGTTTTAGTGTACTGCTGTTAGATTATTGTGCTGCAGTCTGCTGTTCATGGGGCATAACCTGTTCTCTAACAGTACCCATCTGGATATATACCCTCCTGTTCCTACATCAAAGTTGCCTTTACAGTGCTGTCAGCAGGTGTCCACCGTGGTCCCTGTGGGCTGCTGTGAACACTGGAGTGTGGCTCCATCCAAGACAGACAGAAGTACGGTGATAGGATCTGCCCTCCAAGATAGTGACTCCCTTTGAGGTTACAGTGGGATGTGCTGCTTAGGACTGCCAAGCACAAAGTTTGGTGGCTTTCCTGTCCGAGTTGTATAGGGATCCTCTGCTAACTGTGGTGAGAATTCACACAAGGTTTTTGGGTGGTCATTAGCTAAAAAGATTGGTTTATAAACATGTGGAGTTGGAACACTGGCAGTGCATAAGGACTGATGCTTCTCTCTCTTTTGATCACTTCTACAATGAAATAATTCTGGATTTTCTCTTACTAAGTTGAACTCAGTTCAGTCAGTGGTCGTCAAGGGCTTCTGTCCTCAGGAAGCAACTGAACCACTACAACCAAGTATGAAGGATGGCTCTGTAAACAGTGCGCTGGATTAGGATGCAGGAGAGCTGGCTTCTGCCCCTCTGC